CATCCGAAACTTCTTTGGTGTTATGAATCTATTGAGAGCTCTCAAGTCCAATATTGGTCTGAGACCCCCATCTCGTTTTGGGACCGTAAAGAATCTGGAATAGAACCCGTGGAATCCCTCCGATAATGACAGGCGACGAATAGCTCCTTTAGCAAGGAGTTGGTGAATCTCGTCTAACCGTACCAAGGAAGTTGGAGTATAGCGGATAGGATTCGGTGATGGCACAACGTCGAATTCGATTCCATATCTGTGCTGAATGATAGATAACACCCACCCATCAGATGTGATGGACTCCCAAAAGGAGAGCCGACTCTTCAGTCGATCCCCAAATGAGAGGGGGGAGGGTAGAGTTGGAATGAGAGGAGAGGTTCGCTCGTTGCATCAGTGCTGTCGCCTGTCCGTATCAAAGCGGCGGCGGCCCTGTTGGAAGCACTGGGGTGGTTGTTGCCTGCGACGCTGCTGACGTTGATGCGGTTGCTGTTGCCGAGGCGGAAATAGTTGACGGTACTGTGGACATGACCATGACCACTTACATCGGGGTAGAGATCGCAATTCCATACGACGGTCCGTCATCCTTGATTCATGGATTTTCTTCAATTTGCTATCCGTCCTTGCATGGAAGAGACCGGAACTGTCGAACAGCATCTCCTCAATTCTCCGCTTCATCTCGTCCGGAAAATTGCAATTACGCAACCAGGCGTGTCTGCGGAGGGAAATGGCACCGACCAGCAACCTCGAATCAGAGTCCACGTGGTGCCTCGCGGTGAAAAGCTGTTGCACCGCCACTTGCATAGCTTCCTTAACAAAAGTCTTAGCAAGTTCGCCCTGGTTTCCCGGGAGGGTATTGATGATGGCGTCCAGGCGTTGCATAAGGAAATATTGGTAACGCGCCAGGGTTGCCTCATAATTAGAAATTCGGAAACCAAGAAATTCGTATACCCAGCGGGTGAAGGAATCAACCTTTCTGACCTCTTTGTGACGAGGCGAGGTGTGTCCATGGGCTTCCCGACCCTGCGAGGATTCTACAACAACCGAATTCAGCTTGGAGTGATGGAGAAGAAACGGGATGTCCTCTTCCCGGACCCAATACATGGACTCATATTTACAAGAAGTCGGTTGTGGGTGAGCTGCGAGGTCCCATGGCTGGGTCATTGCCTGCCGTAAGGTCGTAATAAACGGCAAGGCAATAGATGTGGATCGTTCGCCCCTGACCACATCATAAAAACGATCGGTGCTCGGTCCCAGCTGTTGGTGGGCTTCTATATCGAATGATCTCACTAGTCTGGCCATCAGATTGTTAAACGATATATACGGTTCCTCGGGCGACCCCGGGCCCTGAGAAGCAGGTCGAGTCAGCCTCAGACTTGTCGGATTCCATCCAGTAGGGGGGTGGTACACTGGAGGAAGAATCTCCTGGTGACTCTGATCTGCCACGTTCTTTAGATGGGGCCCTCAGAGCATCTCTGGGTGTTGAATGGAAACGTTCCCGAGGCGCTGGTGGTGAAGATTGCCCCCTGGAGGTCGGATAATAGGCTACTGAGTGGTACTCTTCCCATCTCGGAGCAGAGGAGTACCCGGAGTGGTACCAATCATCAGACTTCGCATCCGAGGAACGGCTCCTATGGCTTCTCGGAGGGGAGATGGCGATCTCAGTATCCATCGGGATTGGAGGCATCGGGGTTGGTGATCGAGCTCTAGGTGGAGAATCTCGTATTTCCCCATCAGAGATGGAAACACGCCTTGAATCCAGAATGGGTTCGGCTGTCAGTCGGCGTGGTGAGCCTGGTGGGGTAACCCTCATAGCCACCTGGATGGTCGGGACCGAGGGGGTCGGTTCTGGAGCAGGGATTGGAATCGAGGAAGAGGCCGAGCCTGAGTGGCGGTGTTTTGCCTGCTCAGGGTTCTTCGGCTTCTTAACCGGCTTGCCCGTCTTATCTTTCTTGGCCTTCTTATGCACAGGATAGTTATCTGAGTCGCTGTGCTTTCTTTTTTCCTTTTGTTTCCTCGGCAGGGAAACAGACTGGTCGGCCATGGTATGAGCGCCTTCTTCAGAAGGGTGTGAGGGCGAAGCAATGGAGGAAGAGGCCGGGCGTTACAGCAGGTGAGCCGAAGTTGGACGGCCTTCGGGGGGGCCACAAGAGTGGAAGGCTTAGCCACCAGCCGGTCCGATTGGAGGACAGCCTGGTCCCATAAGAGTTTGCGGAGGCGGTTCTCCCTGTTCTTCCTCGCCTGTTTAGAGAAGGCCAAACAATGGCCACACTTATCAGTTCTGTGCCCTTCCCCCAAACAAAGGAGGCACAGATCATGCGGGTCCGCGGCGGGCATTTTGGAGCTGCATTTTCCGCACTTGCGGAACACCGCCCGTTGCACCATCATAGAAAGAAGAAAAAAGGAGATAGGAAAGCGGGAAAGTAATTTTTTTTTTTTTTATAGGAACGATAAAGAGGAAAAAAAATGGTGCAAAGTTAAGAAGAAATATAAGTGAAGTACTAACAACAAGAACAAGGGATACAAACTTGGTAGGAAAAAGGAGAGATTTTCGAACGAGCAAGAAGGTAAGCGAGAGCGAAGCGGCACGAGGCACAACAAACGGTGGTCGCAAAGACTGGAAAATGGCGGACACTCCGCTCCTTATATAATGCTAGGGGGGAGGGGGAGCGGAGTTCCCGCCAAAAACCGTTAGCTGTTAATCTTCCGGCCAAAGGCACTGTGCAGGCGCAGAACCCCCCATATGTGTGATGCACAGAGGCCACGATGAAGAACTGAATCCCTTTGAAGAAGTTGGAGTTATGCCAATAGTCTGAGGTATACAAAGTTATCAGTGGTGCAAAGAGAGCACACAGAGACAAGTTATGTTCTCTTTCAAAAGAGCAGGAAACCACACTGTCACCTCAGAGCATCCAAAGTTTCTGCCCATATACTGAGAGCAAATAACAAGGGACAACTATCCATGCCATGGCCTGGTTACTTGCTTCCTGAAGGCATGTGATTTGTTAATGCCACTGGGCTGGAAGCACCTTTGGGCTGATTCAGCAAGGCAATATTGATGTCATTAGAAGAACAATAACCATGCCTTGTAGGCAGGGCTTCCTATCATCCACAACTCAGTAAGGCACTGCACTGGAGGAGACTGCAGGAGAACATAAGGGCACAGAAAGAGCCATACTGGGTCAGATCAAAGGCCGGTCTAGTCCAGCAAGCACGTGGGCATGGCAAGCGGCATCAGTGCAAAAGTAGCACCCCTCCTGCTAAAGTTCTGCAGCTACTGATGTGCACATGCATGCGGCCTGAGCTACTGGCAGTATGGCACCATCATGATCAGCAGCCACCGATAGCTTTCTGCTCCATTATTTTGTTTAATCCACTTTTAAAGCCACCCAAATGGGTGGCCAGCACTGAATCTTGTGGAAGTGCATTCCACAATTTAGCCACATTTGTGTGCTGATGTACATGCTTTCATTTGACCCGAATCTCCCATCAGTCAGCTTCATGGGATGATTCTGGGTTTTAGGGTTATGAGGGAGGAGAAAAATGACTCCCTCTTCACTTTCTCAGCATTATGCACATTTGCATGCACGTTTTTTCTCTAAGTTAAACAGCTCCAGATTTAGTAATCTTGTTTCATAGCAAAGTTCTTCTAGCCCCTTTATCATTTTATTTGCCCCTTTCTGAACTTCCCCCCTTAATTATTGCATCCTTTTGGGGTGCAATGTTTAGAATGGAGGACTTTATCCTACAGGTGGCCACATCATAGATTTGTATGAGGGCAAATGTATAGAGAAATATTGGCAACTTTATTTTTGTGTCCTTTCTTAATTTTGCCTAACACAGAATTTGCATTTTCAACCAAACCTCACGCACAGCTGATATCTTCAGGCTGCACACCACAACCCCAAGATCACCAAAGCATGAATAACTGAGACAAGAGTCTCCCTCTCCAGATGGGGTCACAACTGGCACACCAGCGTCAACTGGCCATACTAGGCCCTGGCAGTACCAGTTAGGGGTTGCCTTCCTTCTAGTCAGTTCCACTACCAACTACTCTAGGGCACAAAGTCACTGTCTGTTTAGAGCATTGAGAAATCGAGCCCCCTTTTCCTGAGTGAAACATATATACATTTAACCAGTCAATGTGTGGGTAATTGAAGTAACCTGCTGTTACAACTTTTCCTTGCTTGAGTGCCTCCCATCTTTCATTTTCCATCTCAAAATCACCCCAAGCATTTTTCTTCTGGAAGAGGATAGAATGTCCCCCATAGAATGCATGCACTGCTTCTCTCTGTTCCATCAGTTTCCATCATGCCCAATTTGTCCCCTTTAAGACTTGGTGCATCACATCTCCTATTTAGGCTCAGCGCCTTCTAGCATATGCACAGAAATACCTGCATATGGTGTCTCTGCTGTGTGCAGATGTCTCTGCTGTGTGCATCTTCTGCTATGGCGCTTAGGTCTCTTGAACTGACCTTCGTATTTCACCACATGCTCATGGCCTGTTCCCTCCTCATACCCATTTGGGCAACTGGGGACATTTTCAATGTCATCTCCTAAGGATGATCTGACTCCTGATGGATGCTTCCCAGATCTGTTGGCTTTTCTTCAGGCTGCAAAAGTGCCCCAGTCTCTTACCACTTTGTCACAGCAAGTAGCTTTCAGTCATAAGGACAAGCAAATAAGAAGAGTGCTGCCTTTTGCTTTGTTTATTAAAAATTATACTCCAGCTGTCAGTATTTCTACTCCACTTTGAAATGGACTTTTAACAAATACAAAATAAACAAACAAAAATTCAACAGGTGAACATTCCCCTCACCCCACATTTCTGAGATGCAGTGAAAGGAAAATTGCATGCTACCACCTGAATCTCTGCATGTGATGCAGCTTTTACAAGACAGAAAGAAGCTTATTATCACTATTTTTAATTGAACTTATAACATTTCCATTCAGGAAAACTGAAGTCAGGATGGTAAACAAAATAAGGTCAAAACAAAAATAAGACTAGAAATAGGAAAATCATAAAAGCAATACAGGGATGTTGAAAATACAAAAATAGCATAACAGCAACTAATGTATGAAATACATTTCAGATATCATTCAAGTGAAAAATGGAAAGCAAAATTCTTTTCACAGCATGATTAAAACTTGATAGGAGTATTGGAAACTTATATAAAACCACTGATAAAGTTGTTCCCGGAGCCCTCTGGATACCAGGCAGGCATGTTTTGGTGCCATATTGCACAATAAAAAGCCAACATTTTAAATCTGTCAGACCATCCAATATATTTCACAAAGTCCTCCCAACTCCCAGAGGAATTAGAGTTCTGTCTGCTTTCTGTTTCTTGTCGCTGTTACATGCCGGCAAGTTTTCTCCAACTTGTGGCAACCCCATGCATGAAGGCCCCCCACAAAATGCCTGTCTCCGATAGTCCCACTCAGATGTTGTAAACGCAAGACTGTGGCTTCCTTTATGGAACGGCTCACCACATTTTGAAGACAGACAATCTCTGGGCTCAAGCTTTCTCAAAGGTCACAGCCCCTGACATGCCAGCATCACTGCTTGATGATAGCAGCGCAAAGGGTGCATCTACACAGTGGTGAAGGAAAAGTCCTCTGTGTAGGCAGAGACATTCTCATCTCAATTCCACATGCTCCAGGGCTAAACTCCGGTGTCACAAGCCACGTCTGTAGCCAAGACCGCATCCTGCTCATGCTCAGAAGCAATTAGGATTGTCATATGCAGTAGTTGTGTAGTATATGTTGTTTTAGCTTAAAGCTGTATGTGTCATAAGTTTTATGGAAGGATGGAATTTAAAGCTACAAATTCTCTCTCAACCGCTGAACTGAAAACTGGTTCCAGAGTTTGACCCTGGTGTAGTGAGCCTGGGTTCTAGTTCAGCCCTCTCTGGAGTTCTGGTTGAAAGACCTTCCATTAGCAGAAGCAGTTATAATCCCCAAGTGCTAGAAATGGGCATCCCCCCCCCACTTTTAAAATGGCCTTAGCTTCCCCTTTACCACTTATGTAGGAATGATGGGCATACATCTGCTTCCGTGGATAGGTTTGTCGTGATTTATCCAAATACAGCACTATGTTTGTATCTTCTTACAGGAAAAAGGGGTTAGATAGGGTGGGTGAGATTTAATATCCAGCAAGTAGGTAGCTAGCAGGTGTGTAAATGCCAAGAAAACAATGCGTAAATTCTCCCGTGTGCAATGCAAGGCCATCTGCACATGCACCAGGCAATGGCAGCTAGGGAAACACAAGGTCACATTCATTGACTGTGGTGAGGAGTAAACCCTGGGAAGGACACTTTCAGTGGAAGGGAGTAAGGCACAGGGGTGAGCACCAAGGGCTTCCTCTGAATTTGTGAGAAGGACTAAGCCTTAAGGAACTTTCTGCAATGCTATGGCTGAGCACTGAGTGAAGGCATAGCAGAAGTTATGCCTCTGGGCATCTACACTGTGTTCTCTGTTGTGTTACCACAACTGGCCACATCCATGTGCCCTTTGCAAATTGCTGAATGAGATGTTCAGAAATCAGAGCATAGCAAAAATATTGTGTAGGTGTTTGGGAGAAGGTGATTGCTGAAATGCTGGGGGTAACATATGATTGTTACACCTAGTAGAGAGAAGGGATCCCTGACCTGCCTTCCATACACAGAAGGTGTCTCTGCCCTTTCCTCAGTTTGCCCATTTATGAGGGTTCCCTAATCTGCGGAGCATTTCCATATGGCAATAGGAGTCACCATGAGGGAGGGTGGGGAAGTCTACTTCTGCCAGGCCAGTTGCACTGTTTAAATCTGGATCCAACCTAACGATAGCCTTATCCTCCCTTGCTAGCTGCCTATAGGTTGCAAGGTTGCTTATCAGCCAAGGTTAAGTCCATCTGAGCTGGATTGAATTTGGGTAAATGTTCATTTGCTATATGTAACATACCGTCAGGATTCTTGGAGCTGATACAACCTCATAGTCCAAGGCAGGACTCAAAGCTAGGGAGGATGTAGAGAGCACGAGTGTGGCACGGCAAGCAGAACTGAAACTTGGTTATGAAAAGTACTATTTTCACACTCTGTCCTTGCCCGTGTAGCTTTGTTTTCTACAGTAGCCATTTTCCTGCTACGTATGTGTTTAGCTTTGCTTGATGAAATAACAGGAAAAAAGGATATGGCTCAATGAACCTCAGATAAAGAAGAGCACCATACATGACTATCTGAACCAATATTTGCTCTTAATATCAAGTGTTTTCTATAAGGTGGTGCATGATTGTGGACTGCCACTGTATTGGGTCAGTCCTGCCCTAATTCTGCATCATGCATACAGTGAATATACCAGGTTTCAAACTAAGCACTGAAAGCTGTTAGTCTGGAGTGACAAATACTTCTGTTTCTCCCCTCTTCAGTTGCTGTTCTAAAATCTCTTTTGTTGTTGTTGAAAAATTTGCAAATTATGGATAGCTCTTATAAGAGAAGAAACTGACTGCAATCCTCACTCATCCTTCCTTTCCACCCAGCAAATCTGCACCAGTCAATTGCTAGAGTTCTACTCACTGGTGGATGGCTCTGCTTTGGAAGAAACACACCAGGCTTCCATATCAAGCAACAAGTGCAATAATTGTTTGCAACAAATTATTCTGCTGATCTTTGTACATGAACTCTCTGAGACAGGAAAGCAAATTGCATCTAACCAATTGAAAATGCATCCCACAATCTATCTGCTATTCCTACATTTCTCTCAAGTGGGAGCCCCCACATCAGTCTTCCCCAGATTGGTACTCCTTCAGATGTTTTGGACTTCAAATCCCATCAACCTAACCAGCATGCTCTATGGCTAAGCATAATAGGATGTTTAGGCCAAAACATCTGGACGGCACCAGCTCGGGGAAAGCGGCTCAAGACAATTCCCTGCTGGTGTGCTTTTCACACATTATACTTTTCACACAGTATCAATCCATCCCTTACTAGTGCTGGAAGGAACCTTCCTACACACAACACACCAGGGTGCTTGGGGGAGTCATAATTAGAAGTGTTTCTTTAATTATCAAAAGTTTCAAATGTTTGAAATTCTTGGAGGGGCACTCACTGAAAAAAAATCACTGAAAAGTTCTCTTGCATGAGACTAATTGAGATGGATCTTGTTACTCACCCCTGTTCCTCGGGTCTTTAAGGAGAATGATAAAATGCTAATGGCAAGTACCAGTTCACCAAATTCAATATTTCCTTATCGAGGTTTCCTACAATCCACCCAGGAATCTGAGGAGGGGACCTCTTCAAGCTAGGAGGATGCAATTATTATTCTATTTTGAAATGAGCTCAGGTTAGAAGTATATGTCTGAAAATCTGTCTACCCATAAATTTACCTATGCTTTAATTTGATGTTGCACTATTTTGATTTTTCCTCAGATGAATTGAGTTCCCTGCCTCCCCCACCTCAGGGTTTGTGTGCTTCTTATCACCCTGCATAAGGAATCTGGGGTGTCTGTGTGTCACATTTTGTTTTAGTACTTCAGCTAATTTGAGATATGCAAGCAAGAGACAGATTGAGAGCACTTGTGCCAAAAAAAAAAAAAAAAAAAGGTCAATGCTTCCCTAGAGTGGGATTTTCCTACTGGGCCATGGCCCCAGAATGAAATGTTGCCCTGTTGGTCCGGTCATGTGCGGTATGTCCCACTGAGAATGTTGCAAAACGTTTCACTCCTCGCATGGATGCTCCCCAATATTCCACTTCTCTGTTCTCTCCTGGTAAGGCCCAATATCTTCATATGTATCAGCTAATTCAACCGTCAAGCCCTGAAGAAGAGAAATGTAGAACTGAAGCATAGGAGGAAGCATTACAGGGCAAGAGACCCCTGTCATTCTGAGTGGGTGTGCTTCCAGATGAAGTTCTCAAGGTGCCATCAGCTTGCCTCATCCATGGAATCTTCCAGCTGGTCCAGTTAATGGTGATTTCCACTTGTCTCCCTCCCAGAAACCCTCCATCTGGAAGCACCTGAAAAGCTGCACTGTCAGCACATTATAATATCCGTGCCCTTTGGAGTGATACGTTTAGGATACTGACTGTCCCGTGCTTGGAAACAAGCCGTAAGAGCATAAGAAGCATCCTTCTGGTTCAGACCAGAGGCCCTTCAAGCCCAACACCTTGCTTCCCACAGTGCTCAACCAGAGGTTGGTAATATATGAAACCACCTTATACCATATCAGGCCATTGGTCCATCTGTCTCAGTTTTGTATGCGCCAGATCTTCAGGGTATCAGTCAGCGGCTCTACTGGAGATCGACTGCATGTAAACCATGTACTCTCTGCTGAGCAGGGTTGCCTCAGACCACAATATTTGGGCTGGAGGTAATGCCTGACCCTCACTAGTATTCCACAGGATTCCGGGGCAAGTTCCTTTGAGATTTCATGGCTGCTAATGAAATACTTACCCTAATCAATCCTTCTAATGCCCCTTTAAAGTAATCTAAGTTATCTACTAGGGCTATGTCTGGGGGCAATGAATACCATACATTAATATGAGACATTATTGTTATTAATTACATTTTGATACTGCTCTTGGCCAAAGCTCTCTGGATGGTTCACAACAGGATATAAGAACAATAAAATACAATATATAAACAGCTTTTAACACATTTTAAAATTGATTTTTTAAAAAAGTAGATACATTAATGGAGAGATTACTTTAGATATATGAGAGGAGAGATTGAAAGTGCAGGGCAAGTTTAGCCTTGAGAAGAAAAGACCAAGGGGAGATATGATAGCACTTTTTGAATACTTGGAAAGGCTGCCACACTGAGGAGGGCCAGGATCTCTTCTCAGTCATCCCAGAATACAGGACACAGAATAATGGCCTTAAGTGGCAGGAAGCCAGATTCCAGCTGGACATCAGGAAAAACGTCCTGCCGATTAGAGCAGTATGGCAATGGAATGAATTACCATGGGGAATTGTGGACTTTCACACACTGGAGGCATTTGAGAGGCAGTTGGACAGCCAATTGCCAGGGATGCACTGACAGGAGTCCTGCATTGAGCAGGACTTTGGATTCCATGGCCCCTTCCAACTCTTGTGTCAGGGTCTGCAGCCAGGATGTGGGTGGCTAGAGGCAAGACAAGAGGAACAGAGGCACCGGGGCCAGGGCAACTGGACTTAGGAAAGACAGGGTCCAAATGCAGGGTTTAATGGAAAGTCCAAATCGTAGGCACGGTAGAGGCCGAGGTTGGAATGCAGAAGAATGCATGAGGGCAGAACAAGGATGTGGTCAGGGATAAGCCAAGGTTCAAGAATCAGGAGGACAAACAGAGGAGCAGGTACTTTGCATAGGATAACAGGGCAGGAGACACAGTATGGCAGGACACGTGGCAAGGCAAGGTACACAAGACAACAGGAAGCAGATGCAGCAAGGGCCAGGCAAGGGGTAGGAGCTGAACCACAGCTCCCAGGAAGGAGCTGAGGCAACATGGCAAGGCAGGATACACGGGTGAAGCAGGATATAGATCAGGCAAGAGGTAGCCACAGCAGTGAGGTAACATGCAAGGCAGGCACCAGGAGCAGGAACCATTAGGCAGGATGCAGGCGCAGCAGCAAACAGGCAAACCTGTGCTGCCGAGGCAACATGGCAAGGCAGAAGACAAGGCAGGAACCAGGAGCAGGAACAGTCAGGCAGGACACAGGCACAACTGCAAACGGGAGGACTGCACTGCTGAGGGAACAGCAGTGAGGGAGCCATCAGGCAAGTTGCAGGCACTGCAGCCACAGGAAAACTTACATTGCTGAGGCTAGTTCTGGAGGGAAGAGCGTGCTCTGATAGAGCTCTTCCTCCAGCGCTCCCAGCTGAGCTCCAGCAAGCCTGACTGATCCTGCAAATATGGTGGTGGTTGCTCTGGTTCTGCCTACCAGAGCAACCCAGATCCTGACATGATGATTCTTGTTGTTTATTGTGTGAAGAGGGTCTGGATCTACCACCAGTTAATATCAGTGGATGATCCTGAATTCCAATATTACGGGTGTGTGTGTGTGGGGGGGGGGTGGGACGACACTCTGTACCTACTTTCCGGTACATCATGTATTTTTTCATAAACTTCTATCATGCTCTTCCTTACTTGTCTTTTTCTGAGTTGAAAGCTGCAAATACTTTAGACTTTGCTTTTAAAGAAGTGCTGGTCTGACTTGCTGGATCAGAGAAGTTAACTTAAGAACAAGCCACCAATTATGGAGTTATTTCATCACTGCTTGTGCTAAGTGTGTTGAGGAATCAATTGACAATAAGCTCTTGGCCTGCTGGTGGACCATATGCCTGCCATCAAGAACACCAGAACACCTGGACCCCCTTTATTGGAGAAGGACCAGATATAATAGTAAGCAGGCTATGCTTGCCTTACCCCTGAACCCTACTGTCCACCAAGAGTGCAGTACGGCTTGAGACCAAACATCACCCTCTCCCATGCAAACCAGCCTGCTTCCTCTTGAGGTGCAGAGAGGGGCTGGAGGAAGAGCTCTGCTGGGGTGGTGTCCCACTTATGGACCTCATTCCTAAGGGCACACATAGCATGATGCTCATTCTACCATCCTTTAGGGGCCAAGTCAAAGTATTACATTTCTTTTTATGGCTTATTTTAATGTGTTGTTATTATTTAATGCTGCTATTGTGGCTTTAAAAATGTATTGTTATTTGTTGTTGACTTATTTCAAGATCTGAATTTTTAGCTTATTGCTACATTGACAAGTTAGTTGTTTATTTTGTTGTTATTTTGGAAATTCAGGATAGAAATATTTAAATCAACAAATAATGGGAAGAATGGGTGAGATCACCCATATGATGCAATAAATGCACATGCAATGTGCTTTGAAGGCACATGGATGTCCACTAAGTCAGGGATCTACCCTTGCTGGGCACATGTATTACTCGCTGGCAAGGCTCGTGGTACAAGCAACGCTTGTTCACCTGCACTTGCCAAAAAAGCATCCAGCTGACAACTTCAGGCAGAAATCATCTGTTCTGCTGCCATGGAGATTCATTATCAAAAATAATAATGCACCAAAGTTTTCTCCTGTTTGTTGTATAATGATCCTGTGATTTGCTGTAATTGCCTTGTATAGTGCTGGCTTTTTTAGGTGTCCTATTCATACTAATAAAAAGGTCAGATACAAAAGTAGCACGACAAAATCATGAGTAGAAGCCCAGAAAAATTAATGGATGAGTTTGAATGAAGCACCTTCTCTGTGACTTTTCTTCCCGACCTCTTTCTCACTGGCAGGCACACATTTGTATCTGCCTGTTCACAGGCATTCAATTGTTTGAATGTCTCCAAACATTCTTCTTTCCCCTGTTCACACGTGTTGCTTCTCTCCCTCCCTCCTTGTGTTTGCATGACACAGGGGTTGGCTTAGACTGTTGTCTGAACTTGCCCTACCTCTTGGGGGATGGTTTGTAAGTCATTCTGGAGAGACTTATAAACCACCCCAGTCAGCTGGGGCTTTCTTTCCTGAATGCACAGACATAACTGCTCCATGTTCCAGTAGCGGGTCGTCATGTGAATAGGGCTGCCTTCTCCCTCCTTTGTCGCTTGGCTGAGTTGAAACCTTGGCTATATTCCAACACTTTTTTCTCTTCCCTTCCAAAGAAGTCATACCCCCTTTCCTGCTTTACTGTTCTGAAACAACCTCACAGTGTTGCTCACCTCATAAGTGTGATCCTCCCCGGGTGCATCTTTGCTTTCACCCTAAAATGGAACAGAGGAACATCATCACACTCAAGTTCTCTGCTTGAGAAGAAACAACCCGGGCTCTGCTAGCACAGTGTTCTTTGTCTTTTCTTTCCAACTCCTGCTAGCCCAATTTCAGTGTGCAGCTATCTTCTTTTTCTCAAAGCCATTAAGTCCTAATCTCCACAGTGATGGACAACAATGGAAATTTATAATGTCTGTCTGATCGGAGACACTTTTCCAAAGGAGCTGAAGATGCTGGATTGCTTGGCTTCTTTAAGGCTAGTTGACCAGAGGCACCAGAGGGAGCAAAACATCTTTTCAACCATTTTCACTTTATTATCCAGTCTTGTCATCAGTTTTATAGCACCTCTGGCCCCATCTTCTCTCATAAGGTTTGCCTGGGTGCTTCTGACCAGGGGCATTTGCTTTTCATTCTACCCAAGAAGGCCAGGTTGAGTAATATGCCAAGGTGTGCAGTAACAAGGGACTGGATGGGTGATTCAAACTGATCCCTATAACTCAGGGAAGGTACTTGAGCTTTTCTGCACCCATTCACTGCTTGCTGCCCACCATGCTCTGAGTCAGATATCTCGATCAATCCCTGATCTCTTGCCTGAAACACCACTGCAATCAATGCAGTGCCATGGCGGATGCAGGAAGAGGTGAGGAAGGTTCTGCACCGAAACTGGGAAACATACAGAGTGGGGCGTCTCCCGTGATACCCCTGACCTTGTGAAATCAGCCCTCCGGTGACAGTACTCTTGCTTCACAGTTCAGGCAACCATGTTAAGACCTCCGAGACCATGTTAAGACCACTCAGGCTACCTGATGAAGGCTGTACCTTAAACTATTAGTTTGTTTTACTGGGGTGTTGTATTTAACACTTTATTTATATTCTGTTGTTGATAAAGAGGGCTAAGCATTAAATAAAAGAATGTAATAACAACAGCACCAGATATATGAAATTGTGCTATAGCAGCAAATCAGCAAACTGTATCTTAAGTATCACTAATGTTAGAATCTGGCCTCTTGCCAGGAGTGCCAAATACACTCACCTTCCCCAGCGTTAGGAGCAGAGGGATGCTCACAAACAGGACAAGAAGGGTGGACTGAATCACAATAATGGCATCTTTCAGGGTGTGACGACTTTGCACTTGCTCAAAGGTGCTGATACCTTAGAGGAAGAAGACAGGCTAACCTCAGTTCTTTGTTCTGCTGTGGTCTGGCACCTTGTCATACCGAGGTGGTGAACACTAGCCTGAGGCAGTTGGTGCATCTAGCAGTGATTTCAGTTTTCCTTTCCAACTTTGACGTGAAATGGTTCTACGCTATCTAAAGTAGAATACAAAATCCATGCTGCACTGCAACTGCGAGTTCCAAATGTAAGCACATAAGCATGTGGGGCTTGCATACCACTGCAGATATGGCTGACCCTGTAAACGGGAATGGCTGGGATCCAGTGTGCCAGCTGGAATGTTTTCCCTGTGCGGCCAAGGGAACAGGGCTTAAGGCAGGGCTTTGCCTGGGGATGGCTCCCAGGCTTGCATACTGGGCCTTGCAAAGAGGAAAGGGGAATATTTAGGAGATGAAAGCCTCACCCATGACTCTGAGCTCCGTGCTACAGCACTGCTGCTGGATCCTCCGCGAATCAGAAATGTTGCTGTCACAGACATAAATGCCACTGTCAGCCTGCTGGAGTTTTCTGATATGCACCATCACCATAGATTCATTCCTTGTCACCTCCACCCTGGAAGTGTTCTTCAGCTCCAGATATTTGCCCTTCTCAGCCTCTTTGTACCACTTTGCCATGGAGTTCAAAAAGCAGTTGAAAGAAACATTGTTACCCCGTCTTGCAGCAATGAAGCGTGAATGTGTCAGTTTCAGAGCAGCTGAAGTGTCTAAATAAAATGTGAAAACCACATAAAAAGGAGATGGAAAGCTGAGAGGAAGAGGGAAGAGTTATCTATTTGATTCACCACAGACCTGAGGTGCCGCTAGAACATTTTATACAAATTCCAGCTTTGGGCACATTTTTGAAATTTCAGTCTAAAATTCATAAAACGATGGAGCTGGAAAGGGCCATTGAGTTGAACCCCTTGAACCCCTGCCTAATGTTGGAATTCAAAGGCTTCTCTACATGAAGAAATGGATTACTTAATTTTGATCATTGACCAGTAAAATACAACACACAAATAATACCACAGATCAGCACAACAGAATAGATAAAACAGACAACACCCAGTACTTTACCGAGGCTTCTTGTTTCATTTTCATTGAGGGAGGGTAGCAGTGTCCTTCTCCCAAGCTTTTTCCCTGGGGAGTTTTCCTTTCTGCCTTTCTATATATTCCTATAAGTTCTACTACACAATTCTGTTGCATACAGCAGAATTGTGAAAATACATTCAGGTTCTGTAGAAAATAGCAGCAGAGTCCTGGAAAATACTGCATTTTCCTTGTGCTATGAAAGGAGGCAAAAATGGCTGTGAAGCAGACCCCCAAACTTCCATGAATGAGGAAGTAAGAGGCACAAGAATTGCCTCGTGCCCTGAAGCCCCATTTGAAAGCACCCCTGACAAAGGGCTCCTGTTTCCAGTGGAATACCTCCAGTGATGAAGAGCCCACCAGCTGGACTATTTCAGATGGATTTTTTTCCTGATGTTCACTTAGAACCTGCCTTTCTTTAACTTAAGCCTGTTGTTTAATGCCCCACTGCCTTGGATGTTAGAACACAGGTTGCAAGCCTCTTCTATTTGACAGTCCTTTCGGTACTTGCAAAATGCTATCATATCCCCCTCAGTCTCCTCTTCCCAAGGCTGCTCCTTCAACATTTCCTCCTTCAAGCCTTCCTGGTAGGATTTAGTTTCCTACCCCCAATCAACTTGGTTGCTTTTCTCTGAGCTTGTTCCAGTTTATCCAAATGCTTCCTAAGGCACAAGGTCTGATCAGCACAGAGTAGTTTGAAATGAATACTTCCCTTCATTTAGAAATGATACTTTTATTTAGCAGCAGTACCTGAAACTGAATTAAACTTAAATTTGATTCACCATTTTCGTGGCCACCTCAAACTGCTGACTCCCACACAGCTTGTGATTAACTGCAAATCCAAGATTTTTTCACCCATACTATTGGCAAGCCCAATATCTCACATCTTATACATGTGTATTTAATTTCTCTTTCCTAAATGAAGAACTTTGTATCTGTTTCTGTTAAACTTCATTCTGTTATTTTTGACCAGCTTTCTGATCAATGATCAATATAATTTTGAATTTTGCTTCCATTTTTTAAGATATTAGCTTTCTCACCCAATTTTGTGTAGCCTGCAAATCTGATAAGTGTCCCCCACCCACACACACACTGCTTCCTCCAAAATGTTCTGGGCCCAGAACCTAAACCCTGCAACACCTAATTTGATACCTCCCTTTAAAATGATAAGGAAACACAGAACACTCTTTGAGTGCCACTCTGCAGCCAGCAGATATTCCCTCCTGGATACACAACACGACGAGGGGGGTTGATTGTGGTTGATTGTGTCCGAGAAGCCCAGCACAATGTCTCCTGGAGGCCAGACTCTCTCCCTGGCCTCGTCTCCCAGCAGGGTCACCCAAGGCACAATGGCTAAAGCAGAGACCAGACTAAGATGCATCCGCCCTCTTCAGTCCCGCAGCAGATGAGAAGGGGTATTTCTAATGGCAACAGGGGTGGAAAAGCTTCTGAAGGGCAGCTACTGGGCAGCAGCAGTAGCTGAAGGCAGCTTGGGTGGAGGATCTTTCATCTACAGTGGAAGGGACACTCCCTTCTGGTTAGTACTGTGCAGAAGGCGGCAAGGATAAACCACTTCTGAATCTTCTTACCTTGTAAACCCTATGATGAAACACTAAATGAAACAAGAACTAGTGCCAGAAGATGAAATTCCCAGGTCAAAGGGCACTGAATCAGCTACAGGAGAAGAACAAAGTACAAATATGAACAGTGCTGTCATGAATGATGTGATTAATGAATGCCATTAATCCATTCGCAATGTCATGATCTTCCAGAGGTTTCTGTAAGATGATTGGGAATTTTTTTCTCTCTCTCTAGAAGGTATTATCACAGATACTTGGTTTTGCAGTTCTCAAAACTGTGAATTTGTGTCTTCAAAGATCACATGCCTCTTCTTCACAGCAAAAATGTAATAAAATAAACATACAGAGCTGAGAAAAAGACCTTAATTGCACTGTGCCTTTGCAAATCTATGTACACAGGATCAACCCCTTACCTCTTAAGTGCTAAGTTTCAAAAATTCAGTGAAGAGAAGATTGTTGGGAGTGGTATAGATCTACACAAGCAAAGTGTGAGGAGGGAGAGGCAAACAGTTATAATGAAAGTGAAACCTTTTAAGTGGAATACTCTACATGTCTTTGGATCTTTTTGTGTATAGCTCAAGGTTTATCATATTATTCATTCCCTGAAGGAGAAAACCTATAATGGAAGCAGGCTGTAAAAGAGACCCAGTTTGGGAAGATTTTAATGAAGTTTCTCTGTCTACAGGTTAGGCAGGCATACATGCAAATGTAGAAAACCATGATTTAAATCTAGTTTTACTGACTAGTCACTTAAATTGATTTGTTTTAAATTAAATCCACCCTGTCACAAACAGTGCCAAAATACAACTTAAATAATATTTCTGAGGAATTTAAAGCCCAAATAATGTATTTGCATTACTGAAATCAATTGACCATGAATCTGAAGAACTATGGACTGAAACCAGAGTTTTTCTCAAGGAATAATGCTAAAAGGCAATTTCTGTAGCAAAAGGAAAGAAAAAGCCTAGATGGATGACAAAAGAAGCCCTCAATATTGCTAAGGACAGGGAAAAAACAAAAGCAAAAGGTAATAGAAATAGGATCCGATCCTGAATACAACTTTTCAGTCATCTTCGCGCAGAGACAAGAAGAGCTATTACATAGGCCAGTGCAAAGAAACAGAACACCAAAACAGGAAATGCAAGAGACTTTTTCCAGAAGATCAAAGTAATCAAAGGGCTATTCAAACTTAGATTAGGAATGTCAAAAGACCAAGAAGGTTACATACTATCTGACCAGAATAAAGAGGTGATAACTATACAGAACAGGTAAAAGGATGACAGACCTCTTTGACGGGGAATCCTACAATATCAGAAAGCAGAGAGAAAGCTGATCTGAAGCACACAGAAAGAATAAAGCACCCTGAGTAGATAGGACACCAATCAAACTAATTTCAAGCTGCAGAGACTAAATGGGTCCAAATCCTAACAAGAATATGCCAACAAATATGGAAAATGAATCAATAGTCCACAGACTGGAAATGTTCCACATATATTCCAATCCCCAAAAAGGAGGTACAAAAGTATGCAGCAACTATAGGACCATTGCACTAATTTCACAGGTAAGCAAAGTGATGCTCAAGATGCTGCAACAAAGAATATTACCCTACAGTGTGAGAAATGCATGATGTTTAAGCTGAATTCCAAAAAGGAAGAGAAAGGATGTTCTCAAGAACATGTGGCAATATATGTTAGTACTGGAGCACACCAAAGAATTTCAGAATATCAGTCTGTGTTCTATAGACTACAGCAGCCTTTGACTGTGTAGATCAAGAGAAGATACGGATGGTGCAGGAAGAAATGCGTGTGCCCTAGCATTTGATTGTCCTGTATAACCTTTATTGTGGAGAAGCTAGGGTTACTGCAGAAGTGGAATGGTTTCCTCTGGGCAAAGGCACAGAGATGGACTGACTCTATAAATCAGCCTTCCCCAGCCTTGTGCCTTCTGTCAGAGGCCTTGCTGGATGGGAATTCTGGGAGTTGTGGTCCAAATGCCTCTGAAGGTCTCCAGGCTGGGGAAGACTGCCATAAAGGAAGTCACAGTTATGACAGCTGGAGAGCTGGGGCTAAGGTTCTGATGGAATAGGCTTCTTCAGATATCTCCAAAGTAAATGGAGGGTAAAAGAGAGCCACTCAGCTAAAAAGACAAAAAGCTGTGAGATGACAATGACAGAACTACTAGTTTTGCTCAGCCTTCTCTCAAAAGGGGATCAGTGTCTCATTTGGCATATGTAGCAAACAGACTGAAGGAGTAAGAGAACAGCTTGAGGTTGACATAGGTGGTCAGGAATATCAAGGCACCACAACTGAGTTCATTTCCCCAGGTCTAGGAAAATTGCATCCTACCTTGTCGAAAGAGGCAGTGGGTGCAAGGGCTTGATGGCTTCTTGATGGTTATAAGTGCTGCTTCTTTGAGAAAGAGACTTTTAAGATTTTTAAGAGCATTGTTTCTTTGAGTTCCTTTTCTGTGTTTGCTAGGTGCTATAGATGAGGTAATTTCCAGGTGTCTCAGGACAATGGGTCATCCTCCTTGCAGGGTTGTTTTGCCTGATCTCCTTAAGGGGGAAATGCCTGACCTCTTGTCTGCAAGAATTTCAGCATTCATTCTTCTCTCACACAGGCTAGCCCAGGATACTTGGTCCTTCTTCCTGAATTCAAGTCTCCCCAACATGGCCCATGGCCTAAAAAGCCTGTTCTGGCTTGGGGGTTTATGATTATGCCACTAATATTGATGTATACATGTGTCACAATGGACTCTAATAAACTCTATTATCTTTGAGAAATTATGGAGAATGGGTGAAGTACTGGAAGACTGGAAGAAGGCAAATGCTGTTCTTTATCTTCAAAAGCAGCAAAAAGGAAGCTCCTGGGAATTATAGACCTGTTAGTCTCACATCAAGGCCCAGAAAGTTTCTAGGGCAGATTATTATATTCTAGGGCTCTCCACCTGTAGGCAGCTTGACATTGTTGGATTGATCACTGGAAGCCAGCATGGATTTGTCAAGGATGAGTCCTGCCCAACTCATTTCAATTTAGTAGATTGTAAAAATACTGTGGACATAATGGAACTTAAGCAAGGCATTAGTAGAGTACTTTTGCCATTTCTTTGCCACCTGTCAGCAGTTTGCCATCTTAACTGAGTAGCTGTTTTTTATCCTCTATTTACTTTGGAGATATCTGAAGAAGTTGACTTGGTTGCTGTTCTTATCCCTTGCCAATCTTACTTAATTTGGAGTTTCAGCCTTCCAGACACTGATCTGCCTTTAGTGACTAATTTTCACATCTTTTCACATTCTGCTGCCTTCTATTTTCACTTTTGGGTTGTTTCTGATTTCACCTTTAGTAACTAGTTATTCAGGAACCTCCATCCTCTTGAACTTTTCTTCCTGTTAAGTTTTCCTGCTGTGGAATCCTACTTGCCATTGTTCCAAATTTATTAAAATCATTTTCCTGAAGTTCAGAAGTACATGATTGGACCCTTCCAAGCACAGACCATCCACTCAACTGATACGGAAATTCTGTTTGGGACCTCCTTTGCTGCTAAACATCTTTTAACTCTTCCTGCTAGTTGATGCCCTGGGAAATGGCTGGTTTACATAACTTCTGATTGACTCAGCTGTGCTAACTCAGCAGGAAGCAGTCCTCCAATCACAAATATTCCTGACAATATTTAATTTGCAGTGGTTGACAATAACGGACAGTGTTTAGTATAGTAGTTCGTCTACTTTTATTCTTCATTTATCCAAAACAGATTGATTTTGAATCGACATACTAAAAATAGTATCTTAATTTTGTGAGCAAGTTTTGAGATTAAAATCCAAAATAGAGAAACTTGAAAAATATAAGAAGTGATGAAGGAGAAAATTGAAATGGCTTGACAAACAGAAGTGCCATTTCCTCAAACGTGGCCAAGATTGTGGAGCAGCAGGGCAAAACAGACACGATCAGGACCAAATGATAAAGGACAGCAGGAAAGAAAAGGCAGGAGATCTAACATTACTGTGTGGAGTGCTCTCTTTTCAGGAGTCCAGCCACTCCATTCCAGTCCCCATTCCCTCCTGGTTTCCTTCCTCCCTCCCTCCTCCCACCACCCATAGCCAGACAGAATTCTGTGGCCATTGATCCTAATCAGTCCTTACTGGGCTGTTTCTGGAGGTTTAATCTACAAATGCTGGGCTTCCCACGAGTTTATACCTCCCTTTTGTGCACGGGTGGTACTGTTTTAGCTATGTAAGGACCAGTGCTCGTAGAATTTGACTGTAATTAATGTATATTAATATATGGTAAGGAAATAACTGTCATATGCCTCCAACCCTCATCCTCACAGCAAGCAAGCATTCTTGTGCTTTAGACCCTTGGAAGGAGGGGATGCAAAATGGAATGCATTTCACAATGAGGATTTTTAGCTGGATCTAGTTATGCTTACAGTAGACCCACTGGGTAACCTGTCCCATTGATTTCAGTGGGTCCAGGCTACTGAGTAAAAGCCTGGTGTGGATGCAGAGAGGTAGCATAAGGAATTACAGAGAAGGCTGGGCAGAGGATAATTAAAAGCCAATTCATTCCAAATCAGGTGGAACAGGCAGATAAAACAGAAGCAGGGCAGTGACATGTGATGGCCAGACCATGGACAAAGGCTTCAGAAGGAGGTACACATGAGTTAAAACTTTTTTCCCTGGAAGGGCACCTGTGCTTTCCACCCAGCTGGCAAAAGTCAAGAGGTGAATATGTTCCTTGTCAACAGGGGAAGTTGCTGTAATGGAACCTGCTAAATGCACGCTTGCCATGATCCTATTAGACACACCGGAGCCCTGGCAAGATAAAGTGGCAGGGAAGCCATGAAGCCAGAGTTTGCCATGTCATTAAGCTCATGTTGCTGACCCATTCGGGAGACATGATCTTCCCTAGACGGCCATTGTAAGACTACAGCAAATATAATCTTCCTGTGGGGAAACAGGTCCTAGGGAATAACATTTTAAATCTGTCACAGAAGCAGGGTATTAGGCTTGGATTCATACAAACATCTGCATATTGGGTGTGATAATTCCCCTTTGTTCTAATTATTTTTTAATTCTTGATAATTCTTTTGTGTTTCCCCTCTACACAAAAAGGTTCTATTTTTAAAGATTGTTTTATTTGATGCTCACAATATCACAAGAGCACAATAATGTGTAAGTGAGGGAGAAAGAGAGAAACTCTATTTGCACAACATTGTATTGTGAAGTGCAGTGATAATGTTCTGTCTTTCACTTATTTGATGGTGCTATTGGCATGCACTCTGCAACAGGAGCATAGAAAAACATTATTACATATAGGCAATGCTCACAAAAGAAAATGGAAAAAGCTTGTAGGGGTTTGTGCACTAGACTAGACTTTCAGCTGGACCTTATGTACATTTGCTTTGAAGTAAGCCACACAGAGTTCAACAGGACTTATTCCCAGGTGAGTTGGATATAGCCTGACAGTGCAATGCAAAGTCCCACTGAATTCAAGTGAGGCTTACTCCCAGGAAAGTGTCCATAAAATTGTAGCCTTTAATGACAAAAATTACAGATGACCATGTGTGAGAAAAATGTAATTCAAAGTCTCTGTCCCTTTGATTTGGACTTAATTGAACTGGGCTCTGGGCAGCCTGATGCAAAAGAGGAGGGAACCGGCTCCTGCAGGTTTAATAGTTGTGTACAAGAGGGGAGTTCAGCAGGTACAGCTTGCATGACAGCCCACCCGCCTGCTGAAATTCCCACTCCTTTCTGCACAGCCTCTAAAAGGCCTGCTCCCTTTCGCCTCTGGTCGCCCTCGCTCCTCACTCCCTGCGGTTCCCTGGCTCCATCCAGAGAGCTCTCAAACATGTGTCTATGGCCCTCAGCCCCACCCAGCCACAGGGCTTCTTTTAGAAAAGAAGTACTGACATTTCAGAGTTCATCCCCAAATTTTAAGCAGGTGGGCAGGAAGTGTTGCACTCCTTTCTGATATACCTCGCTGCACGCATACCTTTTCCTTCCTCTTTCTATGAAGGTCTCTGGGGGTGGTTAGGAGGCAGCCTGCTCAGAAACAGAAGTAGACCACTCTTGGCTATGAACAGCCCAAAAAGGGGGGCCGAGAAAACCCTGCCCAGGACCCCAGCTAGCTTTCCTTCAACTGGAGGACTCATTGCTGAGCCAGATCGATTCAAATGCACCCCCTCATTTTCTAGGGCTTAATTTCTACAAGGAAAAGAACCCAAACTTACAGGCAACTGCCTTCTCTAACCTGGAATCCCTCTCTTTCCGCTCTGGACAGTGCTTTCCAAGGAGCCCTCTGCCTCTTGACCTGACCTGGCGCCCTTGCTTTGGCCCTCCCACTCCAGTGTGTGCCTCACCCCAGTAATTAAGTAGTGCCAGGCTTCAGCTGTGGTTCAAGAGCAGAAATGTCCAGTGGGTTTGAGGCAAGACACTGCTCTTATTAGAAGTTCACCACAAGCCCTGAGCTCAGCTCACAAATATAAATAGATGAAGGAAGAGACAAGAAGAAACCATACCTGTGGCTACAAGGAAGAGGCCCAGCGTGACCCCAAACACCGGGAAGAGCTGGAACAAAGGCATCGCCATTACTCATTAGAAACAAAGGCTCGTGCAAAGTACCTCAGCTTAAGCCTCACCACGGCCCTTGCGACAAAATAACTAGCCCTCAATTCTGTCGTTTTCTGAAAAACTGAAAATGTAGAGGCCTCTCCCTGTCAGTGTCTGTTTCCTGTCCATGCAAATGCCATTGTGACGGGGCAGCCCCTTGGGCTTTGAACTGGGTGCAGGCCATGTCATGAGAGCAAGGGTGCCACAGCTGAGTAGTCTGACCAGCAAAAGAGTCACAAAATGAGGAAGTGGTGATTGGAAGAGGCGGCTACCATCTCTCCTGGCATGCTTCAATGTCTTAAATAGCTGCTTACAGTGTAGAAGTTAGATCAGCCCTCCCATTCTGGTACCCTCCAAATGTTTTGAACTACAGCTCTCTGAATGTTTGGCCATGGGCATGTTGACCACTAGGGTAGGTGGGGGTTGATCTATAGCACCCCCAAAGGGTACAGGATGGGGAAAGCTGCAGTGAAGGATGGGACTAGGGACGGGGAAGGCCCGCTTCAAGCTTGCACTCAGCCATGTGGCTTGCTGGGTGAAGCTGGACCTATTCAGTAAGTCTGAATAGATATGTCAACTTATGCTGGGGCAGAGGGTGGTGTATGCTGGCCCCAGCAAGGTACACTGATCCTGCCCCCAAGTCCAAGTTCCAACAAGTGGATTTCCACTTGCATTCACCTGAGTGTGAGTAGCACTCTGCATGACTGGAAACCTTTAAGAAAACATGAACTGATGTATGCTGTTCAGGATGAACACTCATTTGTTATGATGGATGCTTTTTGCAGTTTTTGATCCATTTTAGAAAAAGCCATAAGAAGATAAGGTCAGCATCTGAAGGAGAACCTAAGGCATGCAGCAAGATAGCATCAAATGTACCTTTGATACTAAAAAACAGAATGAATTGTCTGATGGCCATGTTGCAGTGAAGATAACATTAAATTAGAAATCAGCAAAAAAAGTGTCTAAGGAAATTAAGTAAAAGTACACAGAAAAGAGGACACAGCAGTCTGATTCAACTAGGGATGATGGAATTAACAAAATGTAACTGGAAGGGATAAGTACATCAAGGATAGTTTATGAGTTCATATTTGGATTAAAATTTCTAACTAGAAACCAGAACATGATAGAACAATAGTGGTGAATTTAGAACACATGGGAAGTTTTACTCACTCAGACACAAGAAAAAAATCAGTGAATAAAAGGTATAAAAAAGCTCATTTCTAAAACAGAAGTTGCTTTACAGCTCACTCACAGTGTTGCTTACAAGACATGTGTTTGGAGTCAGTCTCACTGACTGAAGCTACAAAATAGGTATAAGTTTTTGCATTCTGCATCTCTTATTTTAGAATGAGGTTCCTGTACCCATGGTATCCACTACCACAGGCAAAATAAGGTATAGGCTCTTTGTTTTCTTAAGAATTAAGAAGTGTGAATGTGTATGATTTATATTCTGCTCCCTTGCTTCCTACTTGCAAATTGGCGGCCTTTGAAGTGTAGCTTAATGCTCTGTTATCCGTCCTGCCTTTCATATAATAGATGTATTATTTGTATTCTAGATGCATCCAAGTACATGTCGGCACAGGAATTTGAGGAATACATAAATAACTTCTCAAGGGGGTGTGGGGAAATACACCAAACTCATGGGAACCAATTCAGACATAATCTCAATTTAACAATTGGTGTAGGGTTTATCTTAACCCAGCCTATTTTAAACAATTCCAGGGCTACCTTATATAATTCCCCTCCCATGAGGGGGCTGAATTGTCTGCCTCAGAGCCCTATACAGCTTGGGGCCAGGTGATCAGAAGGATCACTTCCTCCCATATATACCTACTTGGAACCTGAGGTCATCTTTGAGGGTCCTTCTCCAGGAGCTGCTTCCAAAGAAAGTGAGGCTGGTGGTTACCAGGAGGAGGGCCTTTTTGGTTGCAGCACCAGTTTTGGAATGGGCTCTTGGCACCCATTTTGTTTTTGGTTTTTTCTGCCCTAGGTGAAGAGCTTTTTATTTTCCTGGCATTTAAAACCATCTAACTTTTCACTTTACTTTTATTGATAGATCCTATTTTATTTCTGTATGGCTACTGTGCCATTATGCTGAATAATAGCAATAGCAATTTATGGTTTTGTTCTTTTAATTTATTTGTTGTGTGCATGCCTTTTAAACTTGTGTTTAACTTTTGTTAACCGGTCATAGAGTTTCAACTATTGGGCAGTATATAAAGGAATTCAGTAAAACCAGGGCTTTTTTTTGTCATAGAATGCACCGGAACGGTGTTCCGGCAGCTTTTTTTGATGAATTTTTCCACATGAATTTGAATCGCCCTGTCGGGTTTAGCAGGTCAGCGGCAAAATCATTAAAATGGTGCATGCAGGCTGCTTGTGTGTCTGCGCTGGTTGTGATGGTGCTGCTCGGCTTGTGATTGGTCGTGTGATCACGCGCTGAGTGCTTACTGCAGGCAGCGACACCATTATGTTTCATTACACAGTGTTGGTGTGTGTAGAATGACTGGCTACGTGCAAAAGGTAAATAAGTTCTTCATTTTAAAAAAAGTTGAACTGAAAATCTTTTTTTAATTTTTAGTCTAAAGTGTGACCCCAAATTTAAAAAAGAAAAACATTGCTAATTCTCGACTACCAGTCCTGCTAATAAAAGGCCAGAATATTAAGAACTGAATATATAATTTTTTAAATAAAAGATTAACAAGATATGAGTTCCGGCACCATTTTTTTTTATACAAAAAAAGCACTGAGTAAAACAAACAAACAAACTGCTGGTAAAGGATTACATACCATCCTGTGTCAGTCAAGTATCAGATGACTTTTCTAGGTACACATTTGTACAGGCTGTCCCCAGGTTATTAATGAGTTTCTTTCCGGAGAAAACAGAAATGGTCTATATGTCAAATTTGCATGCAAGTCAGATCACATATTGTCGGTCCTCCATATTCACAGGGGTTAGGGGTGGAGGACCCTCATGAAACTAGAAAAGTGTGAATATCCCTAGGCCCTCCCGACCTCCCAAACTGACCAGCATCTGCTCTTTGCACCAAGGAAATGCCAGAGCGATTTCCTTCTTTGGATGGGCAGGGCAGGAAGGCAGGCTTTGGAGGCATCCCCTCTACCCTTTCACTGCCTGACTTTCTATGGTAATGCTTTGGAGGCCTCCCTCTCTACCCTTTTGCTTTCACTCTCTCTGTGGCGATGAAAATATACTGCTGTATTTTTTAAAGTTAATAGGTTTCATGGCAGTTCATTTGTAAATACAGGTTGTTCACAACTCAAGGACTGCCTGTATATTTCTGTGGACTTATCTCTCCATCACATTCTTCAACTCTGTTGACACGCCAGTCTTTTCAAAAGACTCAAGCAGATTGGAATTTCTAGTAGTTCCATATGAGGGATGGCGCTTGATGACACTCCTATGAGATGTGTTCATGGAGAAAAATCACAGGACAAGCAGAAGGCCAACACTGAAGGGTCCTTGGGAAGAATTACCCCTGGACCTCATTGTAAAGTTGCCACCTTCATAGCAATATCCCAATGTACGAGTCATTGTAGACATCTTCACCAAAAGGACATATTTCATATATCTTTTGCTCGCCTCCCAATGGTAAGGGAGACAGCATACTTCTACCTTCATTAGTAAGTAACTTCATTCAGTTTTCTGATCACATGACCTATTCCTGATTGAGGCTCCCAATTCAGGACAAATTTCTAGAATGTGTTGTTTCAGGCACTGGATATTAGAGTACTTTGTCCTTAGACAGATGAATAGACAGAACAAGCAAATCAAACCCTATAATACTACTTGTGATATGGGATCACTTATGAACAAAACAATTACGCCTCCTTATTGAACGTTCACAAGTTTGTTTATACTTCCATGAAGTGGCCTATTGCTTTTCCCCTCATAATTATATGTCTAACCTCTATATTTTCTTGACTCATGTCCATATATTGATTTATTGATTTCATTGATTCTTGCTCCTCCAGTTGGCATCTCAGTCAGTTTCCTCCCCACTCCCAATTCCTGCACAACTAGGGTACAGGGGGCAGAACAATAAACAGTATCTCAGATACTTGATTACATCCAAAAGTACATTTCTGTTCTGCTAATGGAATTCTGAAGAGTATCCCCTCAAAATATATAGAATGGATCATCTAGAATCTAAGTTCCATGAAAGCCCTGCTAATCTGCAGAAAGGTCAGCATTTCAAAATCATAATTTATATAAGTTATGACCACCTTTGTCAGGTCCAGGATGTAGGGGATGCGTGGCTACAGCTAGAACACTGAGACCAGGGTGCTGGACAGGGATGGAAGCCTTTGTGAGGAGCCAGAGGTAAACACAAGTCCCAATACAGGGCAAGGTCAGGTACCAGTAAGACAAAGCAGGGTCAGAAATTCAGCATAGCAGGTCCAAAGACTAAGGCAGAGTCAGGAACAAACAAGGTATGGCATGTCCAGAAGTGAAAGCAGAGTTGGGAATAGGCAAGCGTCAGATATTGACCAGCTGGTGCAGAGGTGAAGACAACATCAGAAGCTGGCAAGGATCAGATACCAACAAGGCATGGCAGAACCGGAGGCAAAGGTGAAGTCCAGAGGCAAGCCGAGGATGGATCCCAGCAAGGCAAAACAGAGCCAGGAGCAAGGCAAGGTCAGTGAGCATATTCCAGGCAAGGCAGGGTCAAGATGGAGGTAGGGGCAAAATTAGGAGACAAGGCACAGCTGGAGCCATGACCAGGAACACAATGTGGCTACCACAAAGACCTGCACTGCTGTGGCCAAGCTGAGACACACAGGGGAACCTTTTATAGAGTTCCCAGAGCGCCAGCTGTGTTGCATGAGTACAGAGGCTCCGATCCCTACAAGTACCTACAGGTGTGCTCACAGAGTGAAACAGGCTCATCACCACTGGGAATGATGTCAAGGCTTCAGAGCCCGACAGCCTTGCTTTTGTAGGCATCATGGCGGCAAATTCAGTTCCTAAGGG